GGCAGGGAGTGTCTGCTCTGAAGGACCTGCCCTCCTGGAGCTGGCAGCCCCCTGGGGAGACAGATCAAGAACAAGGTCAATTGATAACGGGGCAGGGTCAGCACCTGGAAGAGGGCCTTTCCAGCTCTTTGGGATTAGGTGGTCAGCGACAGCTTTGTTGGGGGAAATAACGGTGGCATCAAGACCTGAAGGGCGAGAGGAAGACATTTCTGCATTGTCCAGCAGAGAGGCCAGCATGTGGAACAGCCCTGGGACAGGCATGTTTCTTTCTAGGACGGGGAGGCCAGCGGTGGCTGGGCTAGGGTAGAGAGTGCTGAAATGAGCGTGGAGAGGTAGTCGTCATCAAATTGCAAAAGGTCTGAGTCTAGAAAGTTAAAGTTGTTGTATGACAGTGGGGAACCAACGGAGGATGTTTAGCAGAGAGAGGTCAGAGTCCGGTCTAACTCTTTTTTTGTGTCTTCAGTGTCCTTTTGTTTAATCATTTAATTGGGGGCTCTTACCGCTCTAACCACTACCCATCCGTTGTGGCAAGCACATTTGTACATATGCTGCCATCATCATTTTCAAAGCATTTACTTTCTGCTTTGGCCCTTGGTATCAGCTTCTCATTTCCCCCCCTGCCCCACCCTCGCTCTCTCATGAACCTTTAATAATTTATCATTTTTGTGTGTGTGCCTTACACTCACTGTTGTCTCCCTTCACCCACTTTTCTGTGGTCCATCCCCCTGGGAAGGGGTTATATGTAGATCATTGTGATCGGTTCCCCCTTTCTCCCCACACCTTCCCCTTCCCCTCCTGGTATCACTACTCTCATTATTAGTCCTGATGGGTTTATCTGTCCTGAATTCCTGTGTTTCCAGCTCTTATCTGTACCAGTGTACACGCTGTGGTCTAGCCAGATTTTTAAAGTAGAATTGGGGTCATGATAGTGTGGGGAAGGAAGCATTAAAGAACTAGAGGAAAGTTGTATGTTTCGTCAGTGCTATACTGTACCCTGACTGGCTCGTCTCTTCCTTGTGACCCTTCTGTGAGGGGATGTCCAATTGTCTACAGATGGGCTTTGGGTCTCCACTCTGCCCTCCCCTCATTCACATAGATCTAACTTTTTTAGGGAGCACTCTGACTGCTGGGGGTGAATGAGAGGAGCAAGGGGGCAGGTAGCGGGATGTGCAATGGGGAGGCCCCTGCACTGGGAGGGCGATGGTGGGGTTTGGGATACATGTTGGAGATGGAGTGAGCAGAGGAGGACCGAGGGGTCCGATGGAGGGATGTGGTGGTAGGGAAGAGAGGTGTTAGGGATGCCACAGGACGCTGGGGATGATGGCAGCACCAGCTCCGATGGAGAACACAGAGTGGGAGTAGTTGGGAGGCAAGGCGGCTTCCTGCCAGGGCAGGTGCAGGCAGATCTGTTGAGACAGGGCGCGGGCCACCCTGTTGCGTGTGAGGGGAGGAAAGGCCAGGGGGAGGATCTGGTGTGAAGGTGAATGGGTGACTCAGAATGACCCCTGGGCCCCACTCACTGCCAGGGGGGGAAGTGGGGGGGAAGGGCGGGCTGCGGTTCTCTCATGGCGGACGGCCAACACCTCCCTGGGCTGCAGAGTGCTTCTCTGCCCACCTTCTGAAGTCAGCACATGCCATCTGATGCATTTTATAGACGGGAAAGTGGTTTGTGGGGACGGCAGTTATAAAACCGGCCGCTGCCTCTTGGGCGGGTGCCCCAGCGGGTCAGGAAAGCTGGTGTGCTCTGTGGCTCGGGCCAGACCCACCCTCAGAGTCAGTGAGGCCTTATGCTAGCCCATTCCCATTCTCCATCCTCCCCCCACCCCACCCCCCACACCACATATCCGCGGCCTTCCGGATCCTCGCCTCTAAGGCACCTTCAGGAGGAACCCGGCCTCTGACTCAACACTTTCACTTCTAGAATGCTCCCGGTCACAGTATTCTCACATGCGTTGAGGTCATGTGCAAGGAAGTGTAGCATTGACAGCGTCCGGGAAAAATAACAAACAAAAAGCAACAGACTTAGATAAGTGTCCACAGGCAGGGAACAGGTCACCCAGGACTGTTCCATCCTACTGTGAAATGCTACAGTGCTGCTACAAAGTTTCTACCA